TCTGTGTTCCCCGCAAGCCTGGCTCCTACCGGGCGTGCAGCCACCTGCCCCCACAGGTGACGCCATCCTGACCCAGCTGGGCAGCGCCAAGCCGCCGCTTGCAGCCCCGTCCCCGCCCTTCCTGGGGCCGCACACCGGACCGCTCCGGTCTGACGTTGGACTCTTCCCACGCTGGCATCCCCTGCTGCCTGTGTCCCCAGCGCTTCGCACTGCACTTCCACACGTTTCTTCCCAAGCTCGTAAACCACGCCACTTCTCGCGGCCTGAAATGTGCCTTCCCTTCCGACCACGTCCAGCAAGGACCCCCCTCTTCATCTCGGTCCTTTGCAATCACACCCACCCATCTTCCCGTTCATTCTCGGAAGCGCTCCTATCCGCTGGTCAAGGCAAACACCCTCCGCTTGCGTTGTTGATAACCTTACCCACTTCACGCCTAGTCTATAATTAGCCTCCGTACTAATTCTTCTAATTACATGATTACGATGTCCACTGTATTTAGTCTTTCTGCTTCTCGCATCCCTCTGACACCTCCCAGAATGGCAGGGTTCTGGGCCCTAGATTAAACATCTCAGCTCGACGCTTCTGCCTCCTCTTTGTCATGCTGAAACTCAGCCCCACAGCTTCACTACCAGCACTTAGCAGTGCTTTAGAAATGGGACAGGAGCCTGGTGGCATGTAGTTACACTTTGGACTGGGATCCAGAGTTTTAAACCGCCGGCCGCTCCTCAGGAGAAAGGCTGGGCTTTCTCAGTGTCTCCATTCCAGTCCTGGAAACTCATAGGTGTGGTTAGTTCTACCTTGTTCTATAGAGTTGCTCTGAGCCAGCCGCCGCTGGATGGCAGTAACTTGAGTGAGTTAGAGATTAGACGGGTTCCATCTAACTGCCCCTGCCTCTTAAGTCTAAATGAAGATGCTACCAACCAATGAGGTCTGGTTTTTACATTGTTTTAGGGTGCGGAAAAGACCCCCAAATCTCAAAGCTCATCGAAGGAGAACATTTGTTAAGTCTTAAATAGGACACATTATTCGGGTGAGGGAGACCATTAGCACCAGGTGATAATGGCCCAAGGATTCACAGTCACACGGCTACTTAAGGCACCGAACTCAAAGGAAACTGTCCCACACTCAGGATGGACTGCAGAACAGGAGGGTGAATAGGACAGGCCCCTAATCTTAGAGGGGCTTGGTCCAAACCAAAATCCAAGCTCACCGCCATCTGACCTGTGGGACAGGGGAGAACTCCTCTGTGGGTTTCTAACGCTCTAACTCCAGGACATCTTACCTTTCCCCCAAGGAGTGGCTGGTGGGTTTGAACGGCTGATCCTTCATTTAGCAAACCACTACACCACCAGGCTTTCCGACCAAGGCAGTCAGAGCATGTGACTCTGAGACACCCCCTCCCCCCCAAGGTGATCTCTGTCAAAGACAGGAGAGGAGAAGCTCATCCGCTTTCCAATGCACTTTGCTTAAGGGCAAGCCTATTCACAGACCTGATCAAAGATCAGAAGGAATTCAACCAAGGCGTCATCCACATAGGGACTCTGCAAACGGATTCTGAGTACTGTAAACCCCGTGCGCAGAATGTAAGCTCTACTTCAACAACTGCCAAGAGCCTGGAGTATTAAACATTCGTTCTAAAGAAATTGCTTATTGTAGCATTAAATTAAAAAATTGGCGCTGTGGGAGGTGGGGGGCCAGCCCCCACCGCTAATACTCCTATTGTGCTACTACTCGGGTTCAGTAATACTACTTCTGGGTTCAGTAATGCACAATTGTACGGTTGAGATATATAAGTATTATATTAAAGTCATCGAGAGCATGAGAGATA